CAAATAGTCAAAAAAGCCAAAGAGATGAGCATAATAGTTCTGGGAATTAGGCTTAGGGTGGTGCACCTGCGTTATTTTCTTCTGTTTTCAGTTAATACCAGGCAAATGAAAATCTTGCCTGCTCTTTATTCTGTGAATAAATTACAGTTAAAGTAGTTAAAGATCAGAAGGGAAATCTCTCCTGCAAGTTGGCCTAAGTGTAAAAGTAAGTTGGAAAATAAGCTTTAAATTGTTTCTATGACTTGGCTTTTTAACACTAATGAGACACAATATAAATGAGATGGCAGACAGAATTATTTGGGCGGATGACTTTCCTCATACTTTGGCAGTTGGTTATTACGCTAACCAAGACAAATGAGGTCTGTTTTGGAAAGATTATTAGTAATGTGTTTGTTATGTGAATACACAGAGCAGATATACATTAGGCTTATTAACTTAGTGAATGACTTTTTTCAGGACTGGTCTATAAATAATATTTTTCTCTTTTTATTAGATGATGGACTATCTGCTTCAAGTTGTGAATATGAAAGAGAGCACTCCAAGCTGAAAGAAGGTCTCTAAATTATGAAGAAATGGAATACTTTCTGTAAGAGACTATATTTCACAAGCACTTGATTGTTTCAGATAATCAACAAGGTCTCTTTTCTGTAAACAAGATTTCCTTTGTGTAAAATATCTAAATACACGTATTCTTGTATGTTTCAGCAATGACTAAACTCTACTTCATTTTCAAGATTGCATTTTCTCACTTGAATGGCTTTGATATATATAATTGTCATGGAAGGGTCTTCCAATTAATTATATGACTTAACCTATCTAATCAGTTCATCTCTTAGTTCGAAACTATATGACATTTCAACATTCGCAATAAATAGTACTAATAAAAAGGCTCAGTTTATACTTTTATTTGAGTTAATAAAATGGAAATTGGCTGTGCCACAGCTAGTAACAAAGAAACAACAGAATGATTCATTTTCCACTGAAGCTGTTCTCCTTCTTGAGTTGCTCCCTGGTCTGTAATTTTTTTTCAATAGAGGGAAGCTGACACTGCCTTCCCAAGGTATCGGTGGGCCAAGTACAGAGCATGTGATGCACTTCCACATGCAGGCAGCAGGGAGATCCCCTGAAAGATACTCTGCCCCCTTGTTTGACTCGGAGGTGATGCGGCAGCTCAGCATGCTCCCACCACACACTGTTAGCAGGTCCAGTGCCATTGTGTGTCCACATGAGACTAAAGGAAGAACATTGCCTCCCAGGAGAACAAGCTCGTGACGCCTTTTGTGGGGCTACAGCACATTATAGCCAAGCAATGCTCCTTGCTCACCTGCAGTTTTCTGGACTGGACAGTCAGACAAGGAGATAATGTGCTGCCACCTTTCCTCAAAGGAGAGCACTGACAGACCAGACTGGAAGGACGACAGGAAGCATCTGTCCACGCACAGCTCAACACAGAGCAGGAGAAGCAGGTCTGGATAAAGAGGTGACACTAATCAGCACTGGTGAGGGCACCCCTGCAGTACTGTGTCCAATTCTGAGCACCCCAGCATAAGAGGGATATGGACAAACTGGAGAGAGTCCAACAAAGGGCCACAAAAGATGATTAAGAGGCTGGAGCATCTCTCCTATGAGGAAAGGCTGCGACTGCTCAGCCTGGGGAAGAGAAGGCTCAGGGGGTCTTACCAATGTGTATAAATACCTGAAGGGAGGGTATACAGAAGAGAGGGCCAGGCTCTTTCTAGTGATACCCAGTGACAGGACCAGAGGCAATGGGCACCAAATGAAACACGGGAGGTTCCCTCTGAACATCAGGAAACACTTTTTCACCACGAGGGCGATTTTAGCACTGGCACAGATTGCCCAGAGAGGTGGCGGAATCTCCCTCCTTGGAGATATTCAAAAGCCATCTGGACATGGTCCTGGGCAACCGGTCCTAGGTGACCCTGCTTGAGCAAGGGGTCGGACCAGATGACCTCCAGAGGTCCCTTCCAACCGCAACCATTCCATGAAACAGAGAATAGGTGAGGTGGATTAGTGACACGCATGGTTTTGCACAAAGTAACTGCGTCCGCGCAAATGACCTGTCGAACACACGGGTCACCACAGAGGCGCTAAAGGTCCCAGACGAGCTAAAGGTCCGTCCCAGCTTTAAACCCCACGGGGCAGGGCCAGCCCCACCGGGCAGAGCCGTTCCCCGAAGCGCAGAGCCCGCGGCCGCCGGCCCTGGAGCTCCGTCCGCCTCCAGCAGGCGGCGCCCTCGGCCCA